TAAAAAAAATTTCTTCATACCTTTTGCTTTTTTTTCAAAAAATTCTTTATAGATTTTCCATTCGCAAACGTAAGATCATGAACCCTTAAGGATTGACATAATTCCATAAGAGCTTTTTTTATTTTACCTAATTTATAAAGTATAGGTAACTATGGAGTTATCGTTTATTTTTCATTTTTTTATACATATTTGTCATTTATTATCCATCACAGCTTTACTTATTTTTTTTATAAAAGATAGCAAACAAGCAGATGGTCTACTTGATGGACAGTAATCACCCTAACCCATTGGACATTTGCAACATAAGAGATTTTGCGGATGCATTGCCGACCTTAATTAAGTGAACGACATACGACATAAGGTGCTATTGCACAGCAACTACCTTAACGTGAAAGTAGTACTCTATACGTTACTGTAAAGAGTCCGAGAACTGGATCCTATCATGTCAATCGTTCAACTAAGTAACCACGAATACTCGCTAACAGCATGTTGGTGTTCAGCAAAACCAGATTTGTTGAGAAGCCAGACCCCTGATAATTCTTACGTAAAAAAAATTATTTGGATAAGCAGCCATTGATTACTTCTATTGGAGTACAGTCACTTAAAAAGTCAAATATCAAAGTAATCAAACTAGGGTACTCACAGAACTAAATCGTTTATTTAGTTTGAATAGTTTTCTTCTTTCCAATATAGGCTAACATCTTAGAGGTTTAGGCAAAGTAATGAGATGTAAGATTTTCTACTCATTTAAATGAAATATTTTCGGATATACTACTACTTTACCGCAACCGTGATCACGGATAGACGAGAGGACAGACACTCACATCTAATTTCATTTAGGCAAAGTAGGTAGAGAGGACCAGAAGTCAAACAATAAGTTTTGGTTTTGGCATATAATGATGATATTAAACTTGGTTAAGGATGCTTTTTTTAAAACTAGCATCCGAAGCTTTGCAGTTTCAAATCCATCCCGGAGAGATTCGAAAATTTGTTCTTCTCGCCCTAAACACGTTAGATCGTAAAACAAGGGTGATCCTTGTCACCGAACGATGCATCAATTAAAACATCCACTTCTTTCAAAGGATCAGCATTAGAGAGCCAATCCGCCGCCAAGTAAAAGCTGCAAAAAAAATGAATACCATCTCAATCGGATGACATGTATTGATACATTTGCTATATACAGTGAAGTTCATATTTAGGCGGAGAGCTTATAAGGAGAATCTGTATTCGTGATCAGAGACCTTATACAGAGATAAGAGTTTGATAGTATTATTCTGTCTTGATCGAGTTGTCTTGTATATACCGTTGTCCAATAAGCAGACACCGATAATTACTATTTTGTTCATACCGGTACCCAACAACATTCAGAAAATAGACAATTTGTGGTCTTGAAGTTAATGGAGACTCTGATAACAAATGTTGCTATGTGTTAACACACGTACATATACCGTGTTAATTAAATTTATCCTCAAATATGTATCCCGAGTAGTTTAGAACTTTTAATTAAACCTCGCTTAATTTTTTTATTACTTTATGAGATTATTTTTTAAAACAAATAAATGAAATCCAATATTATAGATAAGTTATGAAATATAGAAAAAATAATAATCTCAGTATAAATATGTGTACTTATCATAACGGTAAAACGTTAAATACGTCAAAAATGAAATAGCAAATCAGTAGTTCCACAAATGTTCTATACTAAAGTAATTTCATTCCAAATTGTGTTTTGTCAAATAATGTCCGTTAATGCTCACAAGTTACAGTATTTAACTTGTCATCAAACTAAAGTATTTGCAAATTTTATTGTAAAAGCTTTTACGTTATTAACTTAAAAGGTTTAGACAATTAAATAAATTTACTGTTGCTTCACTTTCTTAAGGTATTTCCCTCTGAAATTTGATCATTACTTATCTTTTCAATAGTAGTCGGATTGTTTACCAACGGTCTTTAGCTTATATATAAGACACAGTTGATAGTCTCACAAAATCTTGGACTGTCTTGGACTTGAAATAGTTAGATGAGTGAAGAATGTCATGATAACATATTTATTTTATAAAATCCATTTCCAAAATTCATTTTCATATTAGATTAATTAATTATTAATAACATTAATTGTTAAAAACATATTTTATATATTTATATAAGGTGTACTTGATACACTTTTTTTGTTTTTAAATTAGTAGCCTTTTAAGAATGATATGTAAATCTTTACGTGTTTATACTGCAGAGAATTCGTCTAGGGTTCTGAAACCTCGTCTGAGTGAACTTAAATAGTAAGAAAATATAATAAATATAAAGAGATGAGCTGAGAAAGGTTACTTTGGAAAAACCATAAGCACCACGACTGGAACAGCATCAAAATTTTAATATTCTTGTATAAAATTTAAGTGAAGAGAAGAGACGTTTTCAAAAATAAGGAAAAGAGTTACGAGAAGAGGCAAAACTAAAGTTGGGTTAAATATAAAATAACATTAGTATACCACTAAAATAATCATTTATTTTTTCAGAATTGGTTATTGGAATTATAACCAATTCCGGATTTATAGGAATTTAAATTAGCCTTTTCTCATCTATGATTTTAATAAGACCGTTTTATCAAACTTAGATGCAAGCGTCATAAAGATGTTGAAGTTGTGGCTCGAGTTCGAACGGACAGACGGCTGACATCGGTTTTATTGAGAGATCGCAATAGTTTTGGGATGAATCTAAAAAGGCCTAATGCCTAAATCTCTATACACACCTAAGAGTTTCCAAAAGATATATCCTAGGTAAATCCCATGATGAGGTCGTTACATCACTGCCAAAAGACGTTCGTCAACTCTTTGTTTATGAAACTGTTTTACGCAAACCCAATACCCTAACTTATGTCGATAATCATGATAAAAGGTGAGTAGATATAATGTTCCACATTGATAAACACAGAAGTAAACTTGCAGGGAGACATTATTATATAATAAGCTCCAGATTATACAATAAAATCAACAAACTTATAAATATATATCGTTTAGTATACAAAAAAAATTAGTATACAAACATGATTTAACAAAATTTTACTTTAATAAATAATAATCATTTATTATTTCATTCCATGCCCTGACTGATTGTTTAAGACCATAAATTGAACGATTGAGTTTGAGAACACAATTTTCTTTACAATCCAAATTGGGTGGAGCTTGCATGTATACATTTTCATGTAGGTAACCATTTAGGAAAGCTGTTACTACATCTAAGTGAGTAATTTGAAAGTTAAGTTTAACACTTAAAGCGAATAAGAGTCTTAATGTAGAGTAACGAAGCACTGGTGAGTATGTTTCATAATAGTCCACACCCTCTCTTTGGGTGAAACCTTTCGCGACTAGTCTTGCCCTATAGGGCTCACTATTATCACTTTCATACTTTCTTTTGAACACCCACTTACAATGAACTATTCTATCAGCTTCACTCCTGTCTACAAATGTCCATGCTTCATTCATTCATTCATTCATCGCAGATTCATAACTCAACTAAACCTCGAAATTCTTTGAAATCCTGAAACACCTGGTTCTTTTCTTTCAAGAAGTAGACAAAAATCATTCCGCTGGCATCATCCTCGAACAGAAGAAAATACTTTGAATTACCAATTGATCTCGTCTCCATCGGCCCACATAAATCTGAGTGTACTACATTCAGTAGGTTTTCACTTCTATGGTTGGCTGATGGGAAGGGTAGACGTGTCTGTTTCCCCTCACAGTACACACAATTCTGTATCTGAATGTCAGCTTTCTTATCAAAAAAAAAACTCCTATCACAGCACCTTCATTCATTTTTGTAAGGACTTACTGTTTACATGTCCTAATCTCTTATGCCATGTTCATATTGCTAATAAATAATTCTCTAATTTTCTTGTGTTTAATTTGTACACACCATTTATCAAATTAGCTGTACCAAAAAGCTTATTCACTTGATTGTATATCAAACAGACATCTTTTTTGAACACTACTCTATTGCCATTAACTATGAGTTGGCTTACTGACACTAAATTTGTTGTCAACCCTGGAGCACACGTAACATCTTTCACTGGTATCTCATATTCACATTGATCAGTTTTCGTCATAATATTTACGTCGCCGGAACATAATATTTGAAACTTCTCGTTGTTTGCAACACATATCTCTCGCATATCGTGGTATGTTGCATTCTTCATCCACTTTTCATTGGCCGTCAAGTGCATACTCGCGCCAGAGTCGATGTACCAGTCGTACTTGTTGAATTGGCCACTCAAAAACACTGCACTGAATGCATTACTCTGTTTACGTTGCAATTGTTTCGAATGATTACATGAATTATCATTATTTGGGCATTGATTCTTGTAGTGACCCGTTTGTTTACACCGGTAACATTTGACATGACTTTTGACACCACCACTGACATTGACGTTTGACTTAACTAGACTTTGAGCACCGGCTGACACATTTTTATTTTTCTTAGGTTGCCACTTCTGCGCGCCACTTGCAAATACCACACTAATTTCACTAGATTGAGAACCCACTTCCGTTTCCATATCCATCAGCTTGGTTCTAATGGCGTCCGTTGTAATTTGGATACCAGAATGCTCGATGGCCAAGATCATCGGCATGAATTTTTCCGTCAATACAGCTAGTAAAAGACAACTGGGTCGCAAGGTGTAGGCACTATTGAAGCTCCCCTAACTACAATGAGATGGACCCGGCACCCGCACGGTGAATCCATGGAATGCTGAGAGGTCTAGTCTCATATTGTTTTATGTAAAGCAAATGACCATTACTTACCAATGAAATTATATTTGTTTAACGTATGTATGTATATTGATTTTATTTTTTAGAAATATTGCAAATCCTCTTATGATAATAGCTCAAGTTTGTAACGATTATGCTGATTATTATATTACTCAATAATAATTAATTATGTTCTTGTTTCAGATTTGAAGAAACAAAGTGAAAATGTTAGCAAGATTAATGGAGTAGTTAAGGTTGTGTAAAATGCAGTGTACTTTCCGCTTCAGAACGACGCTTTCCCTATGGACTTTGCTCATCGGAAGCTTTAATATTGCAGGTCAGTAATATGATTACTGTGTGAATATATAAAAACAAAACAAATGTAAGCTCTGTTATCGTCATAAATATAGGACTTCGAACGGGGAGAGATAAATAATTGTTCCCATATTTTGGTGAATAACAATATATGTAAATAGATGTTCCAAATAAGATCACCCATGTTTATAATTCAGTCTAAGATAATCCTTACAATTTAAAGAGAACATTCTTTACGCTCCTATTCCTAAATTATTAATTTCCTTATTTAATTATTTATGACAAAAGGAAGATAATGATTTTTATGTCCGCAGTATGTACTATAAGTATTAATTACATATCCGAACAGGATATCAATCAAGTATATTTCTTACATTCTTTAATGTATACAGAAATTATATATATATATATATATATATATATATATATATATATATATATATATATATATATATATAATATATTGTTATTACTATAATTTATAAATAAAACAATTATTGCAACTTATATAAACATACATTAAAAAACCTAAAATTTGTTTTAAATATTGGTGCTGCAGAAATATGTATAATATGTATATATTTCTGTTTATCGATCTCGACAAAGTCGATTAAAGACGGAAAAGGTAATGCTGGTGGCAAAACCAATATTTAAAACAAATTTTAGTTTTTTTATGTATGTATGTACATATTAGTTACAATAATTATTTTCTATTTGACAGTTTTAAAATGAATTAAATATATGTTTTTATTTAAAAGTTACTTGTGTTATACATATATGTATTAAATTTAACTTCTCCTTAATTTACTGTATATGTCAGATTTTTTACAAATTCGTTGTTTTTAAAAATAATGACCCCATCATCGCCGACCTCACTATTGTCACTTCTTCCAGTACGTTCCATGATATTTTAAAATGAAACTTCAACTGTTCTAAATTTCCTTGTATTTCTAGAAGGTTCTTCATAATCACAGTCTTCAATGGTCCCCAGACACTGAACTCTGCTGTCGTGCGTCCAGACGTCATATTTATACCAAGATTCAAACATAGTTCTATTCTTCTTTTAAACAGTCTTTGATTTCGTTTTACTTTTAACAATAATCTGTTCTGAATACTGATAAGTTTTTATAGTAATTGCTGGCAGGCTAAGTTATTTTCATGTCGCATCCATTATTATTAAGGCTAATTGCGTCGATATATGTATACATATTCTAATAAATAGTGTTTTATTGTTGGACGAGTTTTATGTCTTCTTCTTCTTAAATTCTTTAAAGAATCAGAAAGAATTATGATAAGTTTTGTCAACGGATAATAAAACTCTTGGTATTCTATACCGCATAATTAAATAAGTGCGAGGAGCCACGTTCATACGATCATGACTCATACTACATTTTGTTCAAACATGAATTTCAAATAGAATGCAGCTCAATTTTGTTTAACCACACATTGAAAGATAAAGAAAGTAAAATTATTATCTATCATCCGTTTACAGTTTTCTTCTTTTGATAAATATCTTTGTCTATATTTTCTAATATTTTTCGGATGTACATACCTACTACGCGATTTTTTATGTTTGATAAAAAACTACATAGTCCCGACGTTTTGGCTAATTTACAGCAACCGTTATCACAGGCAGACGAGATGTGAATGTGTGTCCAGACTGTCAAGAATGTGAGCCTTTAAGCACAACGGCGGTATGCAAGCTTTTAAGAAGTCTTTTCAACTTAATATTTAAAAGGTTTTATTCTTAAACCATTTTAATGTAATATTTAATCGAAAACAGTATTTTGGCTTGTTTGTTCTTCATTTCGTACTTGATGATCAACAAAACATTAGTCATCACCTTTCTGGCTTTGACCCTATTATATGCAATTTTTTATTAAAATTGCTGGAATCTTTTACTATTTGAGCCTTATTTATTCATAAAATAAATGATTTTGATCATAATTTTAACCGTAAGAAACTAAACAAAATTCTCGAGTCTTCGATAATCCATCCTTAAAAAGATAATTAAAAGTAAAATGATATAGAGCATCTTTCTTACATCTCTGAAATGGAGAAAATAGAAAATAGAGTGCTTATTGTGGTCGCCATATGTTCCTTCAACTATCAATAATATTTAATCAAGTTATTATTTTACTAGTAATGGTGTCTATTATTTCCGGTCCGAATACAATGAATATAACAATAATATTTGTTTTATTTACTTGTAAGCAACAGTTAGTTTGTCTAAAAATATTACTATATTTATTATAACAGATTACTAAAATAGATTTGAAACAATTTAATTATGCCTATAAGTTCAACAAGCGGACATCCAATAATTTCAATGGCTCAAGTATCTGTTAAATCATCATGGACAAACGGTTCCCAATTGATCAGTCCCATTAAAAGGTTCGTTTTATTGCTGAAATCACCACAGTCCGTGTAATGTTCATCGAATACACCGAAATTGCTTTCGAGAATTGGGACATTTGAGCAAAGTAGAGTGTACCGTGATAATTCCAGTCTGTTCCGTAAAATTCATGATGAAGAAACTAAATCGTTGTCAAAAATTATTTTACCCCTGAGAGATAGCGGTTTATTACAACAAGGCTTGTTGTAAATAGTGCTTGTTGAACACGCAATATTTCCTTCTAGAACCAATTGATAAAAGTAAAAACACATTTCAATTTGCTATTCTTTACAAAAAAGCGTAATTTAACAAAAGAAACAATATATATATATGAACTTTTTTGGGCTAAGAGAGCAAGTTATTTAAAAAAGGAACACAGTTTATGAAGTCTTAATATCCTTCATTAATATTTTTTTTGTTGAACTTATTTCAAAGCAGGGATATAAATTAAAAAAGCAGGCATGTTGTACTACAACATATTGTGAAATAGGTATTGTGAGTCATCGCTATTGTTTCATTTATCAACATATACATGTATTTGCTGTAGAAGCAATTACAAACGTTTGTTTTAAAAAAATGTTAGGAGCATTTTCAATCTTCTATGTTAAAGCTCCAACAGTTTTATTTGAAATCCGGTCATCACTGTTAGTTTTGATAGCAACAGTGTTGTTATTTATATGTTGCTGAGTGTTTGTTTGTTACATTGTCAATTTTTTTAAAATTAACATAAAAGGTCAAATTTGTTACGATAATTTTTTTAACATTATGCTTTATTTCATATTTGATGAAAAGCACAGATAATTAAAAATATTTAATTTTGTTAGAGACAAAACCTCTCAGCATTCAATGGATTCAGTGTGTGGATGACGGGTCCATCGCGTTGCAGGGAGAGGAGCTTCAACTCACCTTCACTGCCCAAAGTCCTCTCTCTACCTAACCAAATTTGAAAAGAACCTACTAGGGCTGCCTTCGAAGTAGGTACGTTCCCAGAATGAATAAATGTGAGTTCTAGACAAGCCCAAGTCTATTAAGAGGTTGTATAGACATTTAGCTGTCATACCTCTCGCTCCCACTTCTACCGCGTATAAATGCACGACGAAATTATTTCAAGTGAGTTCTTAATTTCTGAGCTCGTAATATTTATTGACTTTGATGATACAGTCTTTGGGGATGTTGGTTTCCCAAGGAACCGTAAGCATCGCAACACGCTTTAAAATTCACGGAAAATAAACTGCTTATGAAATTGAAGTCGTAACTGTAGATCTGGAGCATTTTCGTCTCTTGGGAGCGATGTAACGTCGTCATCATGGGATCTCCCCAGGATATATCACTTGGAAAGTCTTAGGTGTTTACATAGGTCCGATGGTCATTTAACACTCATCCCAAAACTATTGCGATCCCTGAATAAAACCGATGAATCAGCAGTTAGCGCTAGCCCGAGTCACAACTTCGACATCTTTATGATCACTGCATCTAATTCCATTGGCATATGTATGGATATACAAATGCAATTCAGTCAGATCATAGCTTAAAACTCATTATTTAAGGAGACATCTTCAACCGATTGAGCTGAAATTTTGTATACGAATTCATTTTGGATGGTTTAGATCTTGACATCATACCTAATCCTTCATGGCGGTGTATCCAAGCAGTTTAGTTATTTTCAATGCACTAGTGCTATATTTATAGGTTGAGATTTATCGATTTATTTGTATTTAATATAATAAATGAAATATTGCATTACTTTGTACAACGTTTTAAAAATCATGCTTAATATTTCTGGGTTTGAATAAGATGCTTCGTTCTTTGAAAGGAAACCAAAAACCGTTTGAATAACTTCTGTACTTTTCAAAATATGTAAATATTTTTTCTAAATGAACTATACTTACAGATATTATATATTCATAGATCTATAAACAATGGACAATCTTTTGTAATGTTTTAATTATAATATCTAGGAGTTTAACGAATAGTTTACCACATTCGGTTGGTAGTGGTCGCAATTTAATTAAAAGTATTTATTTTATTTTATTGTCTAGTCCAAGTTTTATAATTTAGAATATATTAGAAAAATGATGAAGTGGAAAATTATGAAACCGTATCGTTTAATGTTTCTTTTCTTTGTAGTTTTCTTTTCCCAAAAGACTTCACCTGCAGTTGTTTCTCTCGACTGTACAGATTTATGTCGCCAATGTTCAAGATAACACATATTCAAAGGGTCAATTCGCCATTTAACTTTTGAATACACATATTGTTTGCGAAGTTTTTTGGTTCATTTTGGTTTTAGGCTTTGTTAGTTTTCTTTTTTAATTTACTCAAACTCTCTTTTAGGAATTTATTATTTATCGTCATTATAATCTTCTAAGTGTCTTCTTGCGACTTTGATCACATTTCTTAAGAAAATTCAATTGTTAATATGTTAATGTTGACCTATGTTTAATTTTGATTTATGTCGGATTAAAATATCTTTCACTATATAAACTTATACTAGGCAGACGACTAACATAAAAAATATTGATTAAAAAATTATCATTAAACAAATTTCAAATGTAGATCTATAAAACTAAACCAGTTTTTCTTAAAATTATACAATAAAAATGTTATGTTGACTGTATTTAAATTACGAG